GATCTCCAAAATGGCGTAGTTCCGCACGAATGGTGTCGAAACTGTCAGCGTCGCTGATGCTGAGTACCACTTCCCGAGCGTCCTCATTTCCGGGAATTGAAACGTATTCCGCTGACGCTGATAAGTCGGCCTTGAAAAAGATGACAATACAGTTTCACCCTAGTGATATGAAAAACACTAGTGAAAAACATATTTCGCGACTACCACAGGGCGCGAATATCGCGTTTTTCACCGAGTTTTACGCAACTTTACGTAGAACGGGTGAAAATCCGATGTTGAACCCGGGATGCCCATCTGCGGTACCTCATTGAGTCTAGTATATGCTCGTTGAGCAGCGCGAAGATCGAAGTAAACAACCACAACGGTGTGGTCTAAATGGAAGTTCGAAAAATCGATCCATCGTATATCGCCAATCTGAAAAGTAGACAATCCAATAAGCCTAGTAGTGACATCCCAGACCTTATTCAAAACTTCGAAAATTTGCCCTGCCTGAAGTGCCTCTTCTTGATGCTGTTCCCGAGTTGGAGGGAACAACACTTGGATGCAATCAGTAGCAGCAGCATCATCATCCGATGACGATATTTGACCGTCTAAGGGCTCTACACACATACTAAGTTTGGAAGCATACAAAGGGCTACCCTTAGAGCCGTCCCTGGCCGAATCCCCCTTGTTTAAGATCTTGAAAGTGGGAGAGAAGTCGGACACAGCCTCTGGTTGCTGCCCGGCCGCCTCCTGAGTGTCGGCTGTCGAGGACATTGGTTCCAAGACCTTCAATAAAGTGGATACTCTCAAGACTACGTGATACTCGTCTGTGCCGATCAGCTATCTATAGCGTCCAAACTGCGGGAGGTCATCTGGATCCTGCCTTAAAACGCCTCGAAGACTGCCATATTTTCTGAATGCTTCTGGTGACAATTGCGCTCGCCCTGGCAACGCAAGGTGACCACGACTTCGCGGAGCTCTTTGTTTTGCGAGGCGCTATAAAATGTAAGTGTACGTAGAGTGTGACTTGACAGTACTGACCATATCCTCCTACGAGATTCGTGACTCTCCACATTCAAGGATATGTTGAGTATATTTGAGCCAATATGACTGCCACAAAGGGACAGCAATGCTGTCACAGCATGAAATCTGACGTTCCTCCAATGACCCCTCGTACGGACTCCACGTTTGAACCCGGAGTTGTAAAAGTCATTCTGCTATACAATAAGTGTTCCATATTCACTGCTCAACATGCGTTTTTGGTGTACACTACTACGCCCCGGGCTTTATGTTCGTCAAAGAAGGGGAATTGGTGCATCTACGACCTACGCTTTACGTGCGCTAACTCTCGGAAATTTCCTCTCTACTTCTCTTGATGGTTGAATTCGGAGTTGCTTTATGATTACAGAGTGAATCGTGACAGTCATCTAACGCAACTCCTGCTTTATTATAAGAATCAACTTTTCTCCGCGGATTCCGGCTCGCCTGCCTCCAGTCTTCGCTTCTTTCGTGCTAAGTATCTGCTCGTCAAAGACTCACTACCCTTCCTTGTCACCGTCGTAATATGACCTTTCTTTCGCACTCATCACTCGATCCTCAAGGTTGGTCTCAGCGGACATGGCCGACTCCACTTGTTCAAGAGCCTAACAAGATGATACTGTCGACCCCTCACGTGTCCTTTCTATCACCTTCATATTAGCCTGCAGAGCCTGTTTGGCCAGCTGCTCATCACTACCCATAATAGCTCCACTGCGATCCTTCGGAATGTGATGTGGTAGCACCTGATGAGCTGTTAGAAAACGCGCTAGTTAAAACCAGT